TACTCCTTGTTCAAGAGTACAATAGACTCTATTGGAGCAGAAAATGTTGTTCAAGTTGTCACGAACAACGCCAGTGAAAATGTTAAAGCTGGTGATTTGATGTCCGTTGGGTACCCGCATATCTATTGGACTCTGTGTGCAGCACATTCCATTAATTTGATCTTCGGTGATATTTTCAAGGAAAGACCCTTCAGTACTGTCTTTAATCAGGCAATTAGAGTGCATTCCTATATTGTTCAAAGGCCTTTATTATTGAACATGATGAAGAGATTCACTAAACAAAAAAGATTGGTGAAACCTGCAAAAACTAGATTTGCTACTGCTTTCTTAACTTTGCATAGGATGTATGAGCAAAAAAGCAATTTGAAGAAGTTTGTTTCAGATGAGTACACTAGCAGTGCCTATGGAAGGGAAGCTCGAGGGAGAGAATCTGCAGATATTATACTTTCTCCTTCATTCTGGAACAATGTGGTTCATGCATTGAAGATTGGTGGTCCTTTAGTTAAAGTGCTTCATTTGGTGGATGGGGAGCAAAAGGCCACCAATGGGCTACTTGTACGAAGCAATTGATCGTGCAAAGGAGGCTATTCAAGCCTCTTTTAGTGATCAAAGAAAATACAAAAGAGCTTTTGAGATCATAGATAAAATGTGGAATAGTAAGCTTCATAGCCCTTTGCATGCAGCTAGACTTGTTTTCAACCCGGAACTATTTTATGACAATAAAGAGAGGATTCTAGGAGATGAACCTTTGTGGAATGGATACTATGAATGCATTGAGAAGTTGATACCCGAAGAATCCGTGCAAGATAAAATCACAAAGCAATTTAGTATTTATAGGAATGCTAAACAACTTTTTGGAAAAAACATAGCCATTACACAAAGAAAGACGAAGTCACCAGGTGAGCGAGTGCTTATATGTTGTTTTATAGTTAATAAGTTATTTCTTTATTAATATTATGTTTTGAAAATTTGTTCTACTTCTACAGTTGAATGGTGGAAGCAATATGGTCATTCCACTCCAGATTTACACAAGTTTGCCATCAAGGTTCTAAGTTTAACATGTAGCTCGTCCGGTTGTGAAAAGAATTGGAGCGTGTTTGAGCATGTAAGAACTAATAAGAAAGATTTAGTATATTGAGATGATTAAATTATATCTCAATTGTCCTAATCTTACTAATTACTTATTATTTGCAGATTCATACCAAAAAGAGGAACAAACTAACCTTGAAACGTCTCAATGATCTAGTCTTCATTAAGTACAACAGAACATTGAGGCGTCGTTACAACACTCGCAATGTAATTGATCCAACTAGTTTGGACAACATCGATGATGCTAATGAATGGCTATTTGGAGTCCCGGAAGATCATGCAGATGAAGAAGTATTTGAGGATATTTCTGATATCACTTGGGGTGATGTTGCGGAGGCGCGTGGAATTGGGAAGAAGATTTATGGTTTGAGGGGGAGTACCTCAACTTCAAGTTTACAGAGGAAGGGAAAACAGACAGCTACTTTGTCCCTAGTTGATGAATAAGATGAAGTTGAAGAAGATGACGAGCAATATAATAATGATAGTGGAATACAAGAATTTGACAATCTTGTAGAAGAATAGGATGCTCATTTTGTGCTTTAATTGATGCTACTCTTGACAATCTTGTAGAAGAATAGGATGCTCATTTTGTGCTTTAATTGATGCTACTCTTGACAATCTTGTAGAAGAATAGGATGCTCATTTTGTGCTTTAATTGATGCTACTCTTGACAATCTTGTAGAAGAATAGGATGCTCATTTTGTGCTTTAATTGATGCTACTCTTGACAATCTTGTAGAAGAATAGGATGCTCATTTTGTGCTTTAATTGATGCTACTCTTGACAATCTTGTAGAAGAATAGGATGCTCATTTTGTGCTTTAATTGATGCTACTCTTTAGTTTTTTAATTTAAGTATTGAACATTTGCTTCCAATTACATGTGTTGTCTATGCAGTATTTATTTTAATTTTTTTTTTAAAATTCCGCTTCACTTCAAAAAAGCGGGCGCTTCGCTTCTCGCTTTTCGTGAAATAGGGGTTGTCGCTTTTCCTAGCTTCACGCTATTCACAACACTGGGCACTACGAACTGGATTACAACTTAAAGCAACTAGAATTTCCTCCATAGCACCCAACCAAAGAAAAGAAAGCAAAAAGCACACTACAAGAATTGATCACTTAGCTTAAATCTTAGCTTCTCAAATCCTAGACAAAACACCTGAAGGTGCCCAAGCTCTGTCATTATTCACTCCCCCAACACCCCAATTTTCTTTTGTTTGTCCCAAAAAGTCACCTTTCTTTAAGTGGAAACCCCTAATATTACATTCCATTTGGTTCTTAATGAGATGCCCATATATGAGTTCGCATTATTTTTTGTGGACCCCAACAAGAAAGTCTTAGTATTTTGTGTATATTTGGCTTAATTTGTCAGAAGTCCTTTCTTTCTCAAACACCCTGCTTGGTTGAATGGTGCCAAACAAACTGGACAAAGGGACTATGAAAAATAAATGATCCACTGCCAGAAGAAAACAAAAACATTCAGAGGGCAGTGACTATGATGTGCTTAAAAAAATATGGCATCCTTTCTAATGAGAAAAAGAAACTTTGTGTGCATAAGAATAAATAATAGAACGGGAGCACATATATTTTTATAGGAAGAGAAGTACTAAACAACCTTCAAGAAACATCATCATGAACTTCTTCCGTCGGCCAGGATTAAAGAGAACATCTTAATTTCACAACAAATACTTACTATTACCATCCTAGGAAACCACATCAAAGTTATACGATCAAAAGGTCTCCAATTATTGCAACCTACATATTATTTCTAAAGCATAGCTCCAAAGTGAAAACTACAACAATCACTATACTTTGAAAAACCCCAATAAGTCATAACAACATACCTAATGGTACTACAATGTAAATAACACAATAAAGTGGTATTCAATTAACAGCGGTGACATTGATGACGACAAATTAAATTACCAATCTCCTCTCTAGAATCTCAAGTTATTGTTAAAGGGAAAATTACTCACGTGAAATGCTCAGAGACAGCTTCAGGTGTCCGCTTTGCCGAAGGGAAGAACTCCAAGAGATTACCTTCCATTTTACCCCGCTTAAGGATTGAGATCAAATCATCAAGACTGTTGTCAACCAAATATTCTTTAAAGAAGTCTGTGATAAATGAGAGGACTAGCCCTTTGGCAACAAGGTTATCTTTGAGCAATGGCTGGAAAACCGTTTCTGGCGGGAGGCCAGAAAGCTTCTGGGAAAAGGCAAGGGCTGTAAAAATTGCCAACTTCTTCCTCTCATTTTCCTCAAAGAACTCCAAACATTGCAACATTCTCCGCATAACATTTTCAAGATTCTTTATAAGAAACGGTTTTCTCCTCAATATCTTCTGCACATAGATTACAGATGGCAAAATGACTTCACGTCTAGGTTCACACTCAATTACAGAGTAAGGGTGGCGGTCCCCTTCATCAGGTTTAATTGTTCCAGGTTGTGTACGGCCCCCTGTGAAGATAACCTGTGTCGAACCACACAGCAAATTGGAAGCATAAATGACGCAGCAATGAGTAGAAACGAAAGAACATATTGACATGTTATCCAATTAATATTTTTGATTGTTAAATTAAAAAATGCAAGCTTTTACAATATTGACAAGTTATTCCAATTAAAGCATAAAACTCTCGTCATTGTTAAAATTTTAAACAAATGGAAGCAACACTAGAATACTAATCTATCAAAAAGGAAATATCATAAAACTTTCAGTATAATAGAATAGCACATGACGAGTTTATAATCTAACTCAAATGATTAAAGCTATGGTATCAGGACACAGGAAAATAGCACAAACATTGAAAACAAAAGAAGTAGTCATGCAAGGAAAATAGACCTAAATAAAGAAACTAAAAACTATATAATTCAATCTTAGAACGCTAATAAATAAATGTACTTTCTTTCCACCTTCAGTAATTCCTATCCATATGCACCTTAACAATAGTCCAATAAATATACTTCAAGAATGATAATTTTAGGGGAAATATAAAAGAGTTACCTCAAAAAGGGTGTCACCGTATCTTGAGAAGTTAAGGTCTGTAGACTCAATGCTCTTGGCAACAAGTTCCTGTGCATCATAAAACATATAACAAAGATTGAATGCAAGTAACAATAGGATATCAAAACAAATATGGAAAAGCAAATTGAATAATAGCATTACCAAATCACCAGCATTATCCAAATAAATCTGGACCACTGCATCCGCAAATGCTGCAGGGTCCAGAGGCGCTGCAATATTCCGTTTGCGGGTCTTAATCCGCGTACCACTGCAATGACAACAATAATCAATAAAAATAGTAGAATAAACTAACGTTAAGTACTATGAGAGGATGAACAAGGCTTACCCAAGAGTGGGTTTCTCCTTTGAGCTTTAATTCCACAAAACAAAAAAAGAAAGACAAAAAATCAGTATTATTACAACCACACAAATGATCAAACAGTTGATATTTTAAACTCTACAAGTATCACAAAAACCATAACCAGTACTACGAAATACACAAACAAAAAATGAAGAATAAAACAAGGCAAAGCTTGCTTTTTGGTTGGTACGTAAAATAAAACCACCAAAAAAATGCACATAAAAAATCAAATTTTGGCTTTAGACCAGCATAAGAGCTGAAACAAACAATTACTAAAAGAAAAAAGAGTATGCACTGTAATCATACATCATTTATATGTAGCATAAACGCATAGACGTAACAAATAAAGATAAATACCTCGAACTTTTCACATCAAAGAAGCAGCATGTCCCTAAGTTTTTTCAGTTTAAAATTTAAAAAAAAAAAAAAAACAAGGCAGCTAAGCCTAACAATTAACACAATACCTACATAGTTTCGGATTAAACAGACCAATTTAAGAGACATTCTGAAGAAAAAAACATACAAAGAGAGAGAGAGAGAGAGAGAGAGAGAGAGAGAGAGAGAGAGAATGCTAGTAGATCCTAGATCCAAAATGATAGCAACAGAGAAGAAAAACGAAGTTCCATAGGAAATGAGCAGATCCAAAAATAATAGTTACTTAGTACATAAGAAAAACTAAACATACCTCATAAACAAGACAAGGGGAATCGAAGAAGATGCAGAGACTCTCTGCGCTTTGCGATGAGAGAAGAAAATTTAGAGAGGTGTAAGAAAGGAAAGAGAATAAGTTCTCCTGAAGCCACTGCTCAGATATTCATTTTATAATACTATAGAAAGATAGGAAATTACCTTCTTTCTTTCATAAAATAACAAAAATACCCTTATATTTGAGGTAGGTTTAAGATAATCTTAAGTAGTATATTTTTTAGCTTCTATAAATGTGCTAAAAATGAAATGTATTTTATCTCGTGATTATTTAAAGAATTTTAATAGTTATGTTTTACAATTAAAAAATATTGTATAATTTTCAATAAACATATTCTGCCTATGTCGTACAGGGAAAATTCTATCGTGCAAGTTTAAGTTTGATCCTTTATTTTCATACGAAAATATTTTCTTGGTTGCTTAAATTATTTCACAACTATAATTATTTCATGTGTTAATTTTTCTAATATTTACTTATTTAGGATTTTAAAATCAATTTTATTTATCGAATATATATTATTTGAACCATGCCAGAAGTCTTAATATATAAAAATTTAATCATTTTTTACAGGTGATTTCCTTAAGAAAATATTTAATTTATTTTGATAAATTACTATTTTTCAATAATTTGTTCTTCTTATATATAAATATATTTATTAATTGACACGGCACACACGTAAACGCACATACACTAAAATTAATATTTTGTAATTGTCTGAAATCACTCTATAATAATTAATTTTGAGCAAAAAAATGAGTGGGAAATAACTATTAAATACTCTCCCTCGAAAATTTAATTTTGGACTTCTCATTTTTTTAGAACAAATATACGAGATTTGAGATGTGGGAAAATTTAGCTCTTTGAATTTGCACTGTTCAAATTGTATTGTCTCTTTATGCTAGCATGGTTGTACTTTACCGACATTAATTGGAATACTCTCTTCATCTATTTTGCAGAAATATTCCTTTATCTTCCTCCGTTTCAATTTATACGAACTTGTTTGATTTAACACGGAATTTAAGAAAAAAGAGAAACTTTTGGACTTGTAGTATAAATTGAGTCACACATATTTTGTATGGCTATAAACCGTTGCATAAGGTAAATTGTTTCCAAATATGAGAAGGGGTCATTCTTTTTAGCATGAACCAAAAAGGAAATAAGTTCACGTAAATTGAAACAAATGGAGTATATTTTAAAAGATTAACACAGTTTTTTATTTGGAACTTACTTAACCTCAATGTTTTATTTTTTGGCGAAGGACCAAATACACCCATGTACTATGAGAAAATGTTTAAATATACTCTTCATTATAGTTTGGGTCCAAATATACTCCCTATGTAATAATATTGATTCAAATATACCCCTCTTCTGTTAAATTTGTCCAACATGAACATCTAACCATACGTGGAACTAATATTTGATGAGGTGGATGCCACATGGCATGCCACCTCAGCGCCTCTAATCCATATATAAAAGAATTAAATTTGAAATACAATATTTTTCATAATAGCAGTAATGGTGGCAATAGTTGTGGAGGGAAAAAAATTTAGTGGTGGAAAAAAGTAAAAGGGAGGGTAAAATAGGTTAGGGGCACTGAGTTGGCAAGCTATGTGGCATCCACCTCATCAAATGTTTGTGCATGTAAGATTGGATGTCCAATTTAGACAAACTTAATAGAGAAGGGGTATATTTGAGCCAATAGTATAACGACAAGGATATATTTGGACTCAGAATATAACGAGGAGTACATTTAAACCTTTTCTGATAGTACACGAGCATATTTGGCCCTTTTCCATTTATTTTTTCTTATTAATTGACTTGTTATTTATTAGCACTCCACTTGATATAATCGCTGATTTTTATTAGCAGAGATAAACATAAAATGAATTCATCAAGCTCTTATCATCTCTCACTTGATTGTTTGCAATAAGTTTAATTTTGATATTTGCTATTCCTTCTGTCCGATTTATGTTGACATTTTTCGCTTATCAAAACTTAATTTGAATAATCTTTAACGCTAAATTGGATTAGATCAACTCATTATTTTAAAATTAAAATTTAGATATTCAAAAATTATATGAAAAATATTATAAGTTACGAAAAATATATATTTTAAATTGTTGGTCAAAGTTCGCATAGTTTGATTCTCGAGAAGAAAATGTTATATAAAATTGGGACAAAAGAAGTATATATTAAGGGGTCATTTGATACAAGGGATAAGGATAATAATCTCAAAATAGAATTAAATTTTATTTATCTCATGTTTTGTTATAGGTATTAGTTAATTTAGGGATAAATTTTGCACTAAAATAGCGCCCATATAAAATATAAAATAATTAATTCTATGGGATATCCTTATTTTATTCCACTATTGTACCTCTAAGGAATACAAATTGAAATTGTGGGAGATGAGTAATGAAGGGCTCACATGGGGAGATACCCTTCAATCCCTTGGTCTCTTAAATTTTACGGAAAAGGACTAAATGTGTCCCTTTACTATGATAAATTAGTTATAAGTATACTATTCGAAGGTTTTTGTCCCTACCGTTACCTGTTTAAAAATATGTACCCCTCCATCTAACGGTCAACTTGGACGCCATCTATTTATCGGAGTCATAATGAGATGCTTTTGAAGACTCCAGAACCAACTGAGCTCCATCATCACCGCTAACAAAGAGCCACCGGACAAAAATAGAGGCGGCAATCAACTCACAATCCCAACAAAAATCCATTAAAAAAACTCAACAAACCCCGATCAAAATTACTACTCCAGTAAACATGCAAGACAAAGGCTCCTCTATTTGCTCGACTTTAACTTTCAATGAACTTCTGGGCAAATTTTTAGATATATCAAATCAAATTGGTCTAAGCCATTGGAATTTTAAACTCCAAGACCCATTTCCACTGATCTATATAAAATTTTGGAATAATTTTTCTGTATGATTGAGTGGGTTTTCCAGCTATTAGGTTCATTGGTGCTTTAAGAGTTGACAAAAATTAAAATAAGGTGAGAAGGTAAGAAGAAAGGAAGAAAGAAAAGTAAAAAGGGAAGAGAGAGGAGGGGAATAGGGGGACGAAGAATACTAGGCGAGAAAGGAGGAGGGTAAGGAGAGGAGAGGGGTTTCTGAGGTGTTGTTCAGGTTCGGGGCTGGACCGAGTGGATTTGGATCTAAGAGGAAACATAATTTAGGTGTTTAAAATGTAGCCACATGTCTATCAAAATGGGTAACCATATGGACAAAAACCTTCGAATAGTATAATGGAGGCTACTTATAACTAATTTATGGTAGTAGAGGGACACATCTAGCCATTTTCCGTAAATTTTATGTTTTTTTTTTTAATTCTGTAAATAAAAAGATTGATGATTTACTAAAAAAGATGTCAAAAAGGTATACTATATAATTAAAATTGGCAAAATACATCATTTACCCCTTGACCTTGAGGCCAAATCCCTCTTACACACGTTTTCAATACGGGCAACCTTTTACACACTTAACATTTTCAAAGTGTCTCTAAGACACACCTATTCGGCGCTTGACCACTTTGTTCCCAGCAAGTGTATGCCACACACCATTAATATCATGGCACATGTCATAAACTTTAAAAAAATTACATTTAAAAATATCCATCTTCTTAAATAAAATAGAAAAACTTCATCCTTCTTAATCTACCCAAGGCACCATTTTAGCCAAAATCCATCTCTCAAAATGGTTATCAGCTTTACGAATTAAAAACTAGATTTTGTGGAACTGATTAACCAACATTGAGCAATTTATTTGTAGGAACTTTCTTTCTCTAAACTTTCCGAATCAGTTTTCTAGAAAAAAAACTAATTTAATTTGGAGTTGGAAAATTCCAATTTCAATCACCTGCTCATCATTTGAAGTTTTTTCATTTAACTCCTTAATACCTTAACATTCAAAGTTGTGATTTTGAACTTTAATTTGCTACATTGATAGTGCTTGAAAATTAGAACAATGGGAATTGTGATGAAGAATTTGAAATGGGTTTTATTGAATTAGTGGCAAAATAGTAGCTTTTTTTTCCTTTGTGGTTTATGGGTTTTAATTTTGAATCGGCGGAAATGAAAAAGATTTATGGTGTAGCACAGATTGAGGTAGGTGATATTGGACGACGACAATGGAGGATGGCGGCGGAGCAGCGATGAAGGAATGGTGAAGATGGAGGCCCAAAAACTTTTTTAAAAAATAAATTTAAGATTGATTAAAAAATTGATGAAAAAAGAAGATAGATAAAAAAAATAAAAAAATGAAAAGAATTGAACACGTGGCGTCAATTTATAGCTCCATACACAAAAAAGTTAATACTCACTCGCTTTTATTGGGTGTAAATCACGTAATGCCAGGTGAGCAAATATTGTATGTTTTTGACACACTTTTAAAAGGTTATGGATGCAAAAAAATACTTGTATTAAAGGAGTGTGTCATAGGGATTTGACCTCAAGATCAGGGGTAAACTATGTATTATGCCAATTAAAATTTGCATTTTCCAAAAAGAAGATTAAATCAATAAATAAAGTGTTCCGCGGCAACCGTGCCGAAAGTTTGGGGAAAGTAGGTGGGCTTTTGCAAAAGCTCAACAATTGTCACGTTGGGCTTTTGTAAATGTGGAGGAGTGAGGGTCCACTTGATAATAACAAGGAACAGAAGAGATAAATCTTTGGAAAATATCAGTTATGTCTATTTATAACTTATAAGTAATTTATTATAAAATATTATTAATATTAGTCAAATAGTTATTTGTAGTCAAAAAAGGTTAAATTTTTACTTTCTTTTGTGTGGGTGTTATTAAAATAGATTTGGTACATCTTAAGAAGCTTGAATCTCAATTTTGGGATAATTTGGTGGAGTTTTGAGATGGTTTGAATTGAAAATTCAAAGTAAATGATGAACATGAAAAAATAATAGGTGTATCACATATGTATCATATTTGAATCAAATATGTATGTATATCCATGTATACCTGCGTGTGAGATACATGCGTGATACATGTGTTGCAGAAACAAAATTTTAAACCCGATTTTTACTACGAATTTTGATATCAAATCAGTCCAAATTACCTCCAATCTTCTCTAAA